GGGGGGGCAGGGGGCTGGCCCCCCAAACCCCCCCCAGGACCCCCCAAACCCCCCAGCCGGACCTTGCCGGCCGTGTTGGAGCCGATGTCCACCCAGGTCTCGGCGGCGTTGAGCCAGAAGAGGCCGAGGCTGAGGCGGGGCCGGTGGGCGAGCAGCAGCGGCACGGAGCCGTACAGAGCCATGGGCGTGAACACCTCGTACTGGAACACGTCCAGGTTGTACAGGCGGTACGGGTCACCCCCCCTGGGGACACGGGGACACTCAGGGACACGGCCAGGGGACAGGGACATTGTCCCAGGGGTGTACAGGCGGTACGGGTCACCCCCCCTGGGGACACGGGGACACTCAGGGACACGGCCAGGGACAGGGACATTGTCCCAAGGGTGTGCAGGTGGTACAGTCACACCCCTTGGGGACACGGGGACACTCAGGGACACGGCCAGGGACAGGGACAGCCCCACAGGGGTGTACAGCTGGTACAGTCATCCCCCTTGGGGACAAGGGGACACTCAGGGACACGGCCATGGGACAGGGACATTGTCCCAAGGGTGTACAGGTGGTACAGTCACACCCCTTGGGGACACTCAGGGACATGGCCAGGGGACAGGGACAGCCCCATAGGGTTGTACAGCTGGTACAGTCACACCCCTTGGGGACACTCAGGGACACGGCCAGGGGACAGGGACATTGTCCCAGGGGTGTACAGCCAGTACAGTCACCCCCCCTGGGGACATCAGGGACAGGCTCGGGGACACCCCCAGAATGTCACTGTCACCCCACGAAGCCACCCGCACACAGCATCGCTGTTGTCACCCCCCCGGGGACATCAGGGACAGGCTCGGGGACACCCCCAGAATGTCACTGTCACCCCACGAAGCCACTCCCACACAGCATCGCTGTCACTGCTGTCACTGCTGTCACTGTCACTGCTGTCACTGACAGCGCTCCTGTCCTCCCACGGTGACACCGCCCCCTCAGTGCCACCATCACCCCTCATCCTGCTCCTGTCCCCCCAATTCCTGTGTCCCTCCATGTCTCAAGTGTCACCCCAACGTCCCTGTGGTGTCCCCAATGTCCCCACAGTGTCTGCAATGTCCCTGTGCTGTCCCCAATGCCCCCATGGTGTCCCCAACATCCCTGTGGTGTCCCCAGGGTCTCTGCAGTGTCCCCAACATCCCCGTGGTGTCCCCAGTGTCCCCGTGGTGTCCCCACAGTCCCCATGGTGTTCCCAGTGTCCCCACAGTCCCTGTGGTGTCCCCAGTGTCCCCAGAGTGTCCCCAATGCTCCCGTGGTGTCCCCAGTGTCCCCGTGGTGTCCCCAGTGTCCCCATGGTGTCCTCAGTGTCCCTGTGGTGTCCCCAGAATGTCCCAAACATCCCCATGGTGTCCTCAGAGTCCCCACTGTCCCCGTGGTGTCCCCAATGTCCCCATGGTGTCCCCAATGTCCCCATGGTGTCCCCAATGTCCCCATGGTGTCCCCAGTGTCCCCACAGTCCCTGTAGTGTTCCCAGTGTCCCCAGAATGTCCCCAGTGTCCCCGTGGTGTCCCCAGTGTCCCCAGAGTGTCCCCACTGTCCCCAGAATGTCCCCAGAGTGTCCCCACTGTCCCCAGAATGTCCCCAGTGTCCCCAGAATGTCCCCAGTGTCCCCATGGTGTCCCCAGTGTCCCCACAGTCCCTGTAGTGTTCCCAGTGTCCCCAGAATGTCCCCAGTGTCCCCGTGGTGTCCCCAGTGTCCCCAGAGTGTCCCCACTGTCCCCAGAATGTCCCCAGTGTCCCCAGAATGTCCCCAGTGTCCCCATGGTGTCCCCAGTGTCCCCACAGTCCCTGTGGTGTCCCCACTGTCCCCAGAATGTCCCCAGTGTCCCCAGTGTCCCCATGGTGTCCCCAGTGTCCCCAGAGTCCCCGTGGCTCACTCGGTGGGCCGCAGCCGCAGGCTCTCGGCGTGCTCGGGGATGCCGTACACGTGCTCAAACCCGGGCAGGGAGAAATCCAACCCCACCGAGGTGGGTCCTGGGGGGAGGTCACGGGTGGGGGGGGTCACAGGGTGTCCCCCGTGTCCCCCCCAGCGTCCCCAAGTGTCCCCAGGTGTCCCCACCGTAGGGTTTGCTGTCCGTGTGCGTCTTGAACGTCTCCTCCCACGTCCCCGGCTCCTCCTCGGGCTCTGCCGGGGGCTCCGCGGGCTGGGGGGGCACAAACCCACTCAGCAATGGGGGGACCCCTCCCCAAAAAAAGGGGGGGGTTAATTTGGGGTGTCCCACCCCAGTGTCCCCCCTGTCCTTGTCACCTTCTCGCTCTGGGTGCTGCCAGCGCCGTCCTCGGGCCCCTCCTGCGCCGCCCCCTCCTCGCCCAGGGGGTCCTTGGGGGGGTCCCTGTGGGAATTTGGGGTCCTGGGGTGCCCCAAAGAGGGGGGCGGGGGGGCCACAGGGACAGGGGGCACCCCCAGGACCCCGAATTTTGGGGGGACCTGGACCCCCCCTGGCTACACCTGACCCTTAAATTTGGGGGGGCTCAAACCCCCCCTTGGCTGCTCTGGCCCCCTCCCCAATTTTGGGGGCCACAGCAACCCCCCCAAACTGCTCCTGCTCCCTTTCTTTGGGTGGATTTGACCCTGGGGACACGGGGACACTCAGGGACACGGCCAGGGGACAGGGACATTGTCCCAGGGGTGTACAGGTGGTACAGTCACCCGCCCTGGGGACACGGGGACACTCAGGGACACGGCCAGGGGACAGGGACATTGTCCCAGGGGTGTACAGGTGGTACAGTCACCCGCCCTGGGGACACGGGGACACTCAGGGACACGGCCAGGGACAGGGACAGCCCCACAGGGGTGTACAGCTGGTACAGTCATCCCCCTTGGGGACAACGGGGACACTCAGGGACACGGCCAGGGACAGGGACATTGTCCCAAGGGTGTGCAGGTGGTACAGTCACACCCCTTGGGGACACTCAGGGACACGGCCAGGGGACAGGGACATTGTCCCAGGGGTGTACAGCCAGTACAGTCACCCCCCCTGGGGACATCAGGGACAGGCTCGGGGACACCCCCAGAATGTCACTGTCACCCCACGAAGCCACCCGCACACAGCATCGCTGTTGCTGTCACTGCTGTCACTGTCACTGTCACTGCTGTCACTGTCACTGCTGTCACTGACAGCGCTCCTGTCCTCCCACGGTGACACCGCCCCCTCAGTGCCACCATCACCCCTCATCCTGCTCCTGTCCCCCCAATTCCTGTGTCCCTCCATGTCTCAAGTGTCACCCCAACGTCCCTGTGGTGTCCCCAATGTCCCCACAGTGTCTGCAATGTCCCTGTGCTGTCCCCAATGCCCCCATGGTGTCCCCAACATCCCTGTGGTGTCCCCAGCCCCATGTCCCACCTTCAGTCTGTAGTATCCCAGCCCCAGGTAGAACAGGATGTCCCAATGTCCCTGGTGTCCCCAATCCCCCCGGTGTCCCCTGGGTGTCCCCGATGTCCCCAATCCCCAATGTCCCCATGGTGTCCCCAATGTCCCCATGGTGTCCCCAATGTCCCCATGGTGTCCCCAGTGTCCCCACAGTCCCTGTAGTGTTCCCAGTGTCCCCAGAATGTCCCCAGTGTCCCCGTGGTATCCCCAGTGTCCCCACAGTCCCCATGGTGTTCCCAGTGTCCCCACAGTCCCTGTAGTGTTTCCAGTGTCCCCAGAGTGTCCCCACTGTCCCCAGAATGTCCCCAGTGTCCCCGTGGTGTCCCCAGTGTCCCCAGTGTCCCCAGAGTCCCCGTGGCTCACTCGGTGGGCCGCAGCCGCAGGCTCTCGGCGTGCTCGGGGATGCCGTACACGTGCTCAAACCCGGGCAGGGAGAAATCCAACCCCACCGAGGTGGGTCCTGGGGGGAGGTCACGGGTGGGGGGGGTCACAGGGTGTCCCCCGTGTCCCCCCCAGCGTCCCCAAGTGTCCCCAGGTGTCCCCACCGTAGGGTTTGCTGTCCGTGTGCGTCTTGAACGTCTCCTCCCACGTCCCCGGCTCCTCCTCGGGCTCTGCCGGGGGCTCCGCGGGCTGGGGGGGCACAAACCCACTCAGCAATGGGGGGACCCCTCCCCAAAAAAAGGGGGGGGTTAATTTGGGGTGTCCCACCCCAGTGTCCCCCCTGTCCTTGTCACCTTCTCGCTCTGGGTGCTGCCAGCGCCGTCCTCGGGCCCCTCCTGCGCCGCCCCCTCCTCGCCCAGGGGGTCCTTGGGGGGGTCCCTGTGGGAATTTGGGGTCCTGGGGTGCCCCAAAGAGGGGGGCGGGGGGGCCACAGGGACAGGGGGCACCCCCAGGACCCCGAATTTTGGGGGGACCTGGACCCCCCCTGGCTACACCTGACCCTTAAATTTGGGGGGGCTCAAACCCCCCCTTGGCTGCTCTGGCCCCCTCCCCAATTTTGGGGGCCACAGCAACCCCCCCAAACTGCTCCTGCTCCCTTTCTTTGGGTGGATTTGAAGCCCCCCCGCTTCTCCTACCCCCTCCCACCGTGACGAGGGGGGGGGGTCCCTTTTTGAGGGGGGGTCCCGGGGGGGGTTTGGGGGGCGCAGAGACGATTCCATGGATTTACCTACGGAAAAGGCTCTTGATCTTATCCCACACAGAACTAACTTTATCCGCCAGACTGGGGGTGGGGGGCACCAAAACAGAAACACAGAGAGTCAGCGCGGCCCCCCCGGCCCGCGGGGACCCCCCCTCAGCTCGGGGGGCGACCCCCGACCCCCTCTGTGCTTTGGGGGACGCCCCCTCCCCACGCCGAGCGCCGCCGGCCCCGCTCCCGCTGCCACCAACGGCCGGGGGGGGCTTGGGGGCTTTTCTGGGGGGGGTTGATGAATTTTTTGGGGGGGGGTTTGAGGGTTTTAAAGGGGGTTTTTTTTGAGGGTTCTTCAATGGTGGGCTTTTCTGGGGGGGGTTAATGAATTTTTTGGGGGGGGGGTTTGAGGGTTTTAAAGGGGGTTTTTTTTGAGGGTTCTTCAATGGTTTTTTGGGGGGTACTTTGAGGATTTTTTGAGGGTTTTTGTGGGGTTTTCAAAGGTTTTTTTGAGAGTTCTTCGAGGATTTTTTGGGGGGTGTTTTAAGGGTTTTTGGGGAGTTTTTGAGAGTTTGCTAAGAGATTTTTCGGGGATTTTGTAATGTGTTTTTGGGGGCATTTTGAGGTTTTTTGCACAGGTTGAAAGTTTTTTTAAGATTCTTGAGGGTTTTTTAAGGGTTTTTTTGGGGAGTGCTTTGAGAGTTTTTTGAGAGTTCTTTGAAACTTTTCTAAGGGTTTTGGGGGGCTTTGGAGAGTTTTTTGAGGGTTTTAAAGGCTTTTTTGAAGGTTTTTGAGCGTTTTTTGAAGGGTTTTGAGGATTTTTGAGGGTTTTAAAGGCTTTTTTGAAGGTTTTTGAGCGTTTTTTGAAGGGTTTTGAGGATTTTTGAGGGTTTTAAAGGGTTTTTTGAAGGTTTTGACAGCTCCTGAAGGTTTTTTGAGGGTGTTTTGGGGTTCTGTGGTCACTCACGAGTCCCGGCGGCGCCGCTGGTGCTCGAAGACGAGGAGGCCGCGGGCGTTGACGCTGCAGAGCAGCTCCCGGTGCCGCAGCAGGTCCAGGCGGAACGGCCGCTCCGTCACCAGCAGCCGGTGGCCCCCGGGGCCCAGGGACAGCTCCAGCGTGCCCTCGTCACGGCCTGTCACCTCCAGCCTGGGGACAGCAGGGGTGTCACCATCCCAGGGCATCCCAAAGTGTGTGACAGCCACCCCCATGGCCCCAGGGACAGCTCCAGCGTGCCCTCGTCACGGCCTGTCACCTCCAGCAGCAGTGGCACCTGCACAGAGGGACCCCCAGTGTCCCCCCAATGTCCCCAGTGTCCCCTCACCTGGGTGGCCTCGTTGACCAGCTGGATCCTGTCCCTGTGTGTCCCCAGTGTCCCCCCAGTGTCCCCGTGTCCCCTCACCTGGGTGGCCTCGTTCAGCAGCTGGATCCTGTGACTGCTGTCCCCCCTGTGTCCCCCAATGTCCCCAGTGTCCCCCCATGTCCCCTCACCTGGGTGGCCTCGTTCAGCAGCTGGATCCTGTGACTGCTGTCCCCACTGTGACCCCAGTGTCCCCCCAGTGTCCCCCCGGTGTCCCCGTGTCCCCTCACCTGGGTGGCCTCGTTGAGCAGCTGGATCCTGGCCCTGTGTGACCCCAGTGACATTGCCAGTGAGCCCCCAGACCTCCAGCAGCAGTGGCACCTGTGGGGACAGGGACAGGGACAGTGACACCTGCACTGGGGACAGGGACAGTGACATTGCCAGTGAGCCCCCAGACCTCCAGCAGCAGTGGCACCTGTGGGGACAGGACAGTGACACCTGCACTGGGGACAGGGACAGGGACATTGCCAGTGAGCCCCCAGACCTCCAGCAGCAGTGGCACCTGTGGGGACAGGGACAGGGACAGTGACATTGCCAGTGAGCCCCCAGACCTCCAGCAGCAGTGGCACCTGTGGGGACAGGGACAGTGACACCTGCACTGGGGACAGGGACAGGGACATTGCCAGTGAGCCCCCAGACCTCCAGCAGCAGTGGCACCTGTGGGGACAGGGACAGGGACAGTGACATTGCCAGTGAGCCCCCAGACCTCCAGCAGCAGCGGCACCTGTGGGGACAGGGACAGGGACACCTGCACTGGGGACAGGGACACCTGGGCCAGGGGACACAGGGACAGTGACACTGGGGCAGGGGACACGGGGACAGTGACACCTGCACTGGGGACAGTGACCATCAGGGGGTGTCACCATCCCAGGGTGCTGTGACAGCCACCCTAGGACAGGGGACAGTGATGTCTGAGGGGGTGTCACCATGCCAGGACACCCTAAAGTGCTGTGACAGCCACCCCAGTGGCCCTAGGGACAGCTCCAGGGTGCCCTTGTCACAGCCTGTCACCTCCAGCCTGGGGACAGTGAGGTTTGAGGGAGTGTCACCATGCCAGGGCACCCCAGGGTGCTGTGACAGCCACCTTGGGACAGCTCCAGGGTGCCCTCATCGTGACCTGTCACCTCCAGCCTGGGGACAGCGGCCATCAGGGAGTGGCAGTGTCCCTATCCCTGTGTCCCCTGTCCCCATGTCCCCTCACCTCTCTGCAGGTGGCTCCCCCAGCAGCAATCAGAGGGTGGCAGTGTCCCCTGTCCCCTCACCTCTCACAGGTGGCAGTGTCCCCTGTCCCCTGTCCCCTGTCCCCTCACCTCTCAGCGGGCAGCTCCCCCAGCAGCACGTCGGGCACCTGGTACCGGGGTCGCAGCGGGGCCAGCTCCTGGATGCGCAGCCGAGTGACATTGCCAGTGAGCCCCCAGACCTCCAGCAGCAGTGGCACCTGTGGGGACAGGGACAGGGACAGTGACATTGCCAGTGAGCCCCCAGACCTCCAGCAGCAGCGGCACCTGTGGGGACAGGGACAGGGACACCTGCACTGGGGACAGGGACACCTGGGCCAGGGGACACGGGGACAGTGACACTGGGGCAGGGGACAGTGACACCTGGGAACCCCCACACCTCCAGCAGCAGTGGCACCTGCACAGAGGGACCCCCAGTGTCCCCCTGGTGTCCCCGTGTCCCCTCACCTGGGTGGCCTCGTTCAGCAGCTCGATCCTGTCCCCCTGTGACCCCGAGTGTCCCCAGTGTCCCCCCATGTCCCCTCACCTGGGTGGCCTCGTTCAGCAGCTGGATCCTGTCCCTGTATGACCCCTGTGACCCCGAGTGTCCCCCCAATGTCCTCAGTGTCCCCTCACCTGGGTGGCCTCGTTGAGCAGCTGGATCCTGTCCCTGTGTGTCCCCCTGTGTCCCCCCAGTGTCCCCGTGTCCCCTCACCTGGGTGGCCTCGTTGAGCAGCTGGATCCTGTCCCTGTGTGTCCCCCTGTGTCCCCCCAGTGTCCCCGTGTCCCCTCACCTGGGTGGCCTCGTTGAGCAGCTGGATCCTGTCCCTGTGTGTCCCCCTGTGTCCCCCCAGTGTCCCCGTGTCCCCTCACCTGGGTGGCCTCGTTGAGCAGCTGGATCCTGTCCCTGTGTGTCCCCCTGTGTCCCCCCAGTGTCCCCGTGTCCCCTCACCTGGGTGGCCTCGTTGAGCAGCTGGATCCTGTCCCTGTGTGTCCCCCTGTGTCCCCCCAGTGTCCCCGTGTCCCCTCACCTGGGTGGCCTCGTTGAGCAGCTGGATCCTGGCCGTGTCGGGGCCCAGCTCCAGCGAGCCCAGCAGTGCCCGGTACGGGGAGCTCCCGGGCTGGATCCGCCGCTGCCGCCTGGGGGGGACACGGGGGGGGCACAGGGGGTCACGGGGGGCTCTCGGGATGACCCCGGGGGGTCCCACGGGGGGGTCGGGGGGGGTCGGGCCCCTGGCGCGCGCTCACCGCCCCAGCGCCGCCGCCATCTTGGATCCGGCCTGACCCTTGACCCCGCCCCCGGCCCGACGCCGCCGCCTCCCATTGGCTGTGAGGAGCCACGCCCTCCGCCCCGCCCCGACCACGCCCTCCCGAGGAGTTCCCGCCTTACCTGGTTGCCGGGGAGACGGAGGCTCCGCCCACCTCGTGTTGTGATTCGCGTGCGAGACCTGAGCGATGGCAGCGCAACCCAATCAGAACGCGGCTCGGGAAAGAGGCGGGAACGAACCCTGAGGGCAGGACGGAAACCCAATGAAAGCGCGGGAATGCTGAGTGACACGTCCCTGCGCCCAATGAGAATGCTGCTTTCAGCTGTAGCCCCGCCCCCGAGGGCTTCCGTAGCAACGCCCCGCCTCCGCGCTCATAGCAACCACCGCCCTGGCGACCGCGGCCCGTCCTTTTCTCAAGAACCAATCAACAGCGTGCATTTCTGAGTGACGGCAATTTCGACCAGTCAACAAACGCCTCTGACCCTGCACGGCCCGGTCACATTGAGTGACAGGCTGACTAACCAATGAGAGCGGAGCAGCGGGCGCGCCGGGGCCGCCAATCAGCGCGGGGAGGCGGGGCGTGGGCAGGCCGCGGCTTTGTGGTGAGCGGGGCCGGGGGCGCTGGGGGGGAACTGGGACCAACTGGGACAAACTGGGACCAACCGGGGCCAACCGGGGCCAACCGGCCTGGACTGGGGCCGAGCGGGACCCGCGGGGCCAAGCTGGGATTGGCTGGGACCCGATGGGTGACAGGGCCGAGCCGGGATTGGCTGAGCTGGGCCCACTGGGACGGACTGGGATGGACTGGGATGAACTGGGCCGGTTCCCGTGTGTGCCCGCAGCCCCCCCGAACCCCAGACCGCTCCGTGCCCCCTCCCCAGCCCCACCGCCCCCGCCCCTTTGGAGCTCCCCGGGCTCTGACCCCGCTCCCATCCCCGTTTTTCCCGATTTACCCCCATTTTTCCCCCCCTGCAGTTCCCAGAGCACTGACTCCCCATTTTTCCTGTTTTCCTTTTCTCAAGAACCAATCAACAGCGTGCATTTCTGAGTGACGGCAATTTCGACCAGTCAACAAACGCCTCTGACCCTGCACGGCCCGGTCACATTGAGTGACAGGCTGATTAACCAATGAGAGCGGAGCAGCGGGCGCGCCGGGGCCGCCAATCAGCGCGGGGAGGCGGGGCGTGGGCAGGCCGCGGCTTTGTGGTGAGCGGGGCCGGGGGCGCTGGGGGGGAACTGGGACAAACTGGGACAAACTGGGACCAACCGGGGCCAACCGGGGCCAACCGGCCTGGACTGGGGCCGAGCGGGACCCGCGGGGCCACGCTGGGATTGGCTGGGACCCGATGGGTGACAGGGCCGAGCCGGGATTGGCTGAGCTGGGCCCACTGGGACGGACTGGGATGAACTGGGACGGACTGGGATGAACTGGGCCGGTTCCCGTGTGTGCCCTCAGCCCCCCCGATCCCCAGACCGCTCCGTGCCCCCTCCCCAGCCCCACCGCCCCCGCCCCTTTGGAGCTCCCCGGGCTCTGACCCCGCTCCCATCCCCGTTTTTCCCGATTTACCCCCATTTTTCCCCCCCTGCAGTTCCCAGAGCACTGACTCCCCATTTTTCCTGTTTTTTCCCCCTTTTTTTCCCATTTTTCCTGTTTTTTCCCCATTTTTTCCCCCGGCCCGATGGATTCCCGGAGCACTAACCCCCATTTTCCCGTTTTCCCGCAGCCCGATGAAGCTCCCCGAGCACTAATTCCCCATTTTTCCCCATTTTCCCCCCAGCCCGATGAAGCTCTCATAGCACTAATTGCCCGTTTTCCCCCAGCCCGATGGAGTTCCTGAACACTAATTCCCCATTTTTTCCCCATTTTCCCCCAGCCCGACGGAGTTCCCATAGCACTAATTCCCCATTTTTTCCCCATTTTCCCCATTTTTCCCCCAGCCCGATGGAGTTCCCGGAGCACTAATTCCCCATTTTCCCCCCGTTTTCCCCCATTCCCTGCAGTCTGATGAATTCCCCGAGCCCTAATTCCCTATTTTCCCCCATTTTTTCCCCCAGCCCGATGAAGCTCTCATAGCACTAATTCCCCATTTTCCCCCCAGCCCGATGCAGCTCCCCGAGCCCTAATTCCCCATTTTTCCCCATTTTCCCCGCAGCCCGATGGAGCTCCCCGAGCACTAATTCCCCATTTTTCCCCCGTTTTCCCCCATTCCCTGCAGTCTGATGAATTCCCCGAGCACTAATTCCCCATTTTCCCCGCAGCCCGATGGAGCTCCCCGAGCACTAATTCCCCATTTTTCCCCCGTTTTCCCCCATTCCCTGCAGTCTGATGAATTCCCCGAGCACTAATTCCCCATTTTCCCCGCAGCCCGATGGAGCTCCCCGAGCACTAATTCCCCATTTTTCCCCCGTTTTCCCCCATTCCCTGCAGTCTGATGAATTCCCCGAGCACTAATTCCCCATTTTCCCCGCAGCCCGATGGAGCTCCCCGAGCACTAATTCCCCATTTTTCCCCCGTTTTCCCCCATTCCCTGCAGTCTGATGAATTCCCCGAGCACTAATTCCCCATTTTCCCCGCAGCCCGATGGAGCTCCCCGAGCACTAATTCCCCATTTTTCCCCCGTTTTCCCCCATTCCCTGCAGTCTGATGAATTCCCCGAGCACTAATTCCCCATTTTCCCCGCAGCCCGATGGAGCTCCCCGAGCACTAATTCCCCATTTTTCCCCCGTTTTCCCCCATTCCCTGCAGTCTGATGAATTCCCCGAGCACTAATTCCCCATTTTCCCCGCAGCCCGATGGAGCTCCCCGAGCACTAATTCCCCATTTTTCCCCCGTTTTCCCCCATTCCCTGCAGTCTGATGAATTCCCCGAGCACTAATTCCCCATTTTCCCCGCAGCCCGATGGAGCTCCCCGAGCACTAATTCCCCATTTTTCCCCCGTTTTCCCCCATTCCCTGCAGTCTGATGAATTCCCCGAGCACTAATTCCCCATTTTCCCCGCAGCCCGATGGAGCTCCCCGAGCACTAATTCCCCATTTTTCCCCCGTTTTCCCCCATTCCCTGCAGTCTGATGAATTCCCCGAGCACTAATTCCCCATTTTCCCCGCAGCCCGATGGAGCTCCCCGAGCACTAATTCCCCATTTTTCCCCCGTTTTCCCCCATTCCCTGCAGTCTGATGAATTCCCCGAGCACTAATTCCCCATTTTCCCCGCAGCCCGATGGAGCTCCCCGAGCACTAATTCCCCATTTTTCCCCCGTTTTCCCCCATTCCCTGCAGTCTGATGAATTCCCCGAGCACTAATTCCCCATTTTCCCCGCAGCCCGATGGAGCTCCCCGAGCACTAATTCCCCATTTTTCCCCCGTTTTCCCCCATTCCCTGCAGTCTGATGAATTCCCCGAGCACTAATTCCCCATTTTCCCCGCAGCCCGATGGAGCTCCCCGAGCACTAATTCCCCATTTTTCCCCCGTTTTCCCCCATTCCCTGCAGTCTGATGAATTCCCCGAGCACTAATTCCCCATTTTCCCCGCAGCCCGATGCCTGCCCCGGCCCGCGCGGCAGGATTTGGGGAGGGGGCGGCGCTGGGCCCCGCGCTGGGGGCGCTGCGGGAGCCGCTGTTCCTGGCGCCGCTGGAGCCCCGCGGCGGCTTCGGGCTGTTCGCCGAGGAGGCCCCGACGTGCCCGACGTGCGGCAAGACGTTCTCGTGCTCGTACACGCTGCGGCGGCACGCCACCGTGCACACCCGCGAGCGGCCCTACGAGTGCCGCCACTGCCTGCGCTCCTACACGCAGTCCGGGGACCTGTACCGGCACGTCCGCAAGGCGCACAGCCACGGCGGGCCCGCCCGCGGCCACCGCGAGCCCGCCCGCGACGGCGACAACCCGCCCTGACCGCCGCGGCCGCCCGGGGCACCGGCACGCAGCGAGCCGGGCCGGCGGCGGGGCTGGGACGGGCACGGCGGGACGGGGACAGCGCTGGCACCGGGGACACCGGGACGGGGACAGCGCTGGCACCGGGGACACCGGGATTGTGACACCTGCTCGGGACTGGGACGGCGGGACGGGGACAGCTTCTGGCACCGGGGACACCGGGATGGGGACACCTGCTCTGACCGGGGACACCGGGATGGAGACAGCCGCTGTTACCGGGGACACCGGGACGGGGGCACCTGTACCGTCCTGAGGCACTGGGATTGTGACACCGGCCCTGAGCGGGACCCCCAGGACAGCAGCGCCTGCCTCGGCCGGGCCCACCGGGACATGGGGACCTGCTGGGAGCGGGACCCCCGCGACCCCCGGGACCCCCGGGACCGCGACCCCGCCCCGGGGGGAACCGGAAGGGCGTGGCCTCGCGGTGGGGGCGTGGCCTGGCGCGGGTGTACGGGAGCCGCGCGCGAATAAAGCGACGCTGGACACGGGCGGTGGGCGGTGCTTGAAGGGGCGTGGCCTCGTGTGACACCCCGCCCCGGGGGGATCCGGAGGGGCGTGGGGGCGTGGCCTCGCTGTGGGGGCGTGGCCTGGCGCGGGTGTACGGGAGCCGCGCGCGAATAAAGCGACGCTGGACACGGGCGGTGGGCGGTGCTTGAAGGGGCGTGGCCTCGTGTGACAGCGCCCCCTGGCGGCTGGGAGGACCTCGGCGTTGCCCCGGGCCCCACTCGGAGCTGTCCCAGTTCATCCCAGTCCCTTCTGTTCCCTTTCCAGTCCATCGCGGTCATTGCCAGGCCTTTTCCATTCTCCCCCAGTTCCTCTAAACCCATCCCAGTCCCCCCCAATCCATCCAAATTCCTCTAAACCCATCCCAGTCCTCCCCAGTCCCATCCCAGTCTCCCCCAGTCCCATCCCACTCCATTCCCAGTCCCCCCCACTCCCATCCCAGCCCTCCCAGTCCCACCCAGTACATCCCAGACCCACCCCAGTCAATCCCACTCCAAATCCACCCCCACCCCTGGCAGAGGCTCAGAGCCACCCTGGACACCCCAAAAATGCCACCCTGGCCCCAAAAACCCCATCCTGGGCACCCCAAACTTCCCCAGGACACCCCAAATCCTTCCCCTGGACACCTCAAATTCCTCCAGGACACCCCAAATTCTTTCTGGACATCCCTGGAGACCCCAAATTCCTCCTGGACTTTCCCTGAAAACCTCAAATTCCCCCCACGCCCCCCAAATCCTTCCCCTAAACACCTCAAATTCCTTCTGGACATCCCTGAGAACTTCAGATTTCCCCCAAATCTTCACCCTGGACACCCCAAACTCCCTCAGGACGCCCCAGGACCCCCCAAACTCCCCCCAGAGCCCCCCAAACCCCCCTCACCTGCTGCCATGAAGATGCTGCCGACGGAGCCGTGGCGGAAGCGGAGCTGCTCGATCACGTGGTGGAAATGGGCTGGGGGAGCAGGATTTGGGGTTTTTTGGGGGGATTTGGGGTTTTTTGGGGGGATTTGGGGTTTTTTTGGGGTTTGGGGTTTTTGGGGGGGATCAGGGGACATCGAGGTGTGCAGGGGAGGTGAGTCAGTAGCAGTTTTGGGGGATTTTGGGAGGATTTTGGGATCCCACTCACCCACCCCAAGGAACAGGGGGCAGGCCACCATGGGGGGTTTTGGGGTGGATTTTTGGGATATATTTGGGATATTTTAGGGTTCCACTCATTGACCCCAAAAAAGAGGGGGCAGACCAGCACTGGGGGGGTATTTTAAGGTATTTTTGTGGTATTTTAGGGTTGCACTCACCGACCCCAAAGAAGAAGGGTTAGACCAGAACAGAGGGGGTTATTTTAGGGTATTTCTGGGATATTTTAGGGTTTCACTCACCAACCTCAAGGAACAAAGGGCAGGCCAGTATGAGGGGGTATTTAAGGATATTTTTGGGGTATTTTAGGGTTGCACTCACCGACCCCAAAGAAGAGGGGGCAGACCAGCACAGGGTGGGTATTTTAGGGGATTTTTGGGGTATTTTAGGGGATTTTTGGGGTATTTTAGGGGATTTTTGGGGTATTTTAGGGGATTTTTGGGGTATTTTAGGGGATTTTTGGGGTATTTTAGGGGATTTTTGGGGTATTTTAGGGGATTTTTGGGGTATTTTAGGGGATTTTTGGGGTATTTTAGGGGATTTTTGGGGTATTTTAGGGGATTTTTGGGGTATTTTAGGGGATTTTTGGGGTATTTTAGGGGATTTTTGGGGTATTTTAGGGGATTTTTGGGGTATTTTAGGGGATTTTTGGGGTATTTTAGGGGATTTTTGGGGTATTTTAGGGGATTTTTGGGGTATTTTAGGGGATTTTTGGGGTATTTTAGGGGATTTTTGGGGTATTTTAGGGGATTTTTGGGGTATTTTAGGGGATTTTTGGGGTATTTTAGGGGATTTTTGGGGTAATTCAGGGGGGGGTCCTGGGGGTCAGGGGGATTTTGGGGACCCCTGGGGTGCCCCGGGGGGGATTTTGGGGGTCGCAGCCCCCCAGACCCACCATGGTGAGCAGCAGAGGCAGCAGCGTGGCCGGGACCAGCCCCTCGAGGCGCAGCCCCAGCAGCGCGGGCAGGGGGGTGTCAGCCTGGGGGGAGTGGGCAACGAGGGGGGGTCAGCGCGGTCTGGGGGGGCTCGGAGACCCCTCCTCAGATTTTGGGGACCCCCCCGAGCTCACCTTGACCCCCGTGAGCTCCTTCCAGAGCCACACCAGGGCCGGGGACAGCCCCGAGACCACCAGGACGCTCGTGAAGCGGCGCTTGATCACCGAGGGCTGGGAGGAACTGGGAGAAACTGGGAGGGGCTGGGGGAGACTGGGAGGGATTGGGAGAAGCTGGGAGGGACTGGAGCGGACTGGGAAACTGTGGCGGACTGGGATGGACTGGGAAACTGGGAAGGACTGGGGGAGACTGGGAGAAACTGGGATGGAGTGGGAAACTGGGAGGGACTGAGAAACTGGAGGGGGACTGGGATGGACTGGGAAATTGGAGGGGACTGGGAGAAACTGGGATGGACTGGGATGAACAGGAGAAACCAACCAGGAATGACTGGGACAACTGGGATTGACCGTGGGAAACTGGGAGCACTGGGGGAAGTGGGAATGACTCCATGAACTGGGACATGTTGGGGGAACTGGGATCAACATTAACTGGGGGAACTGGGACTGACTGGGGGAACTGGGACTGGGAGAATTCACTGGGGGAAACGAAACCCATGAAAGCAACTGGGGCCAACTGGTGTAACTGGGATGAGCCAGGACTGGGTGAACTGGGAGCACTGGGAGGGGGCTGTCCTGTCCCTCAGAGCATCCACTTGTGGGGGTCCTGCAGTTGGGGGGTCCCGGGGGTTACTGGGAGGGTCCCGGGGGTCCCCAGAGGAGGGAGGGACCCCCAAACCCCACCTGGCCCTGGTTGCTCCGGTGCCCTTCCTCCTCCTCCTCCTCCTGCTGCTGCTCCCTCCGCCCCCGGCGCTGCTTTTGGGGGGTCCCTGGGGGGCACAGGAGGGGGGGTTCAGTGCCCGGGGGCGTTTTGGGGACCCCCCACCCCCCGTTTCCCCCTCACCCCCGCGGGGCAGCCCCGGGCGCCGCGAGACCTCGGCCCATCGGGTCACGGGGGATTTGGGGGGGTGGGCGGGACCCCAAAATCCCGCACCCACCTGGTGCTGGCGGCGCAGCCCCCCCAGGAGGGGGTGCAGGAGGGCCTGGAGCCCCCGGGCCAGCGCGGGGCGGCCGAGGCGCAGCGTGGGCTCCAGCTGGGCCAGCAGCAGCCGGCGCATCCCTGGGGGGCACCCCGCATTTTGGGGGGGTCCCCGAACTTTGGGGGACCCCCCCAGAGTGGGGAGACAGCCCTGAACCACGGGGGTAACCCCAAAAACAAGGGGATGTCCCCAAACCTTGGGGTCACCCCCAAAGTTTGGGGTCAGCGCAGCTCGGGAGCTGAGCTGGAATGGGGAGTTTGGAGGGGGCACCCCAAAATCGTGGGGACGCCCCCAAAATGTTGGGGACACCCCTGAAACAAAGAGACAGCCCAGAGGGACACCCCAAAACCACAGGGACAACCCCAAAATTATGAGGAGACCTCACAGAACTTGGGGACAGCCCAAGACCTCAGGGACTGCCCTAAAATTTGGGGATCCTCTTGAGCCACGGGGACACCCCCAGGGTTTGGGGACACCCCCAGAACTTGGGGACACCCCCAGGGTTTGGGGACACCCCAAAATCGGGGTCCCCCCCTTACCTGCGTCGTACCCCCCAAAGGGGTCCCGGTGCCGCAGGAAGAGGAAAAGCAGGAGGGTTTTGGGGTCCCCCTCAGGGGAAGTTTGGGGGTCCCCGTCCCCCTCAGGGGGCTCCCAGCGCACCCCAAAGGTGACATCGGGGGGCACCGGCTCTGTGGGGACAACAAGGGGGGGCTGAGGGAGGGGGGAGCCCCGAAATTCCCCCCAAAAAACCTGGAATTCCACGGACCTTCCTCATCCTCACAGGAGCCTCGGGGGTCCGGGGGGTTTTTGGGGTCCGGGGGGTTTTTGGGGTCCGGGGGTTTTTTGGGGTTCAGGGGGGTTGCAGCCAGGTCGAAGCCCCCCCAGTCCCCCAGCAGAGAGGGGTCCCGCAGGGGTGGGGGGGCCGGGGGG